CTTGACATAGTGAGATGGCGTAGCTGGCAGAGGTGCTGGGCACTGAGCCTGATGACCCGACTTCAGTCCCAGAACAGAGAACAGGGTCCGCATGTGCCCATGTGACCCGTGGCAGACCACGCTGGCAACTGCTACACAGGTAAGGGCAGGAGCGCCCGCGTCTCTCTTCAAAGCGTGTTTGTGTTTCTGTGGCTGACCTTGCTGCTGTGCCAAGGTTTCTGTTTGGCTAACTTTCCCACCAGCTTTTTTGGGTCAATATCTGGTGACAAAGTTCCTCCAAATGCCCTGATTCTGTTCAGTCATGAAGAATACTGTATTCAGTGAGTGGGATTGTTGCGGAATATTAGTTTAACTTTGCAAAGGTGTGTGGCATTGTGTAAAGATGTGTTGCTGTTTTACCTAAGGCACCTGACGGATCTAACAAACAACTGAGCAGCCAGTAGTGAGGACAAGGGATAGGTGGGACTTCTGGGCAGGGAGAGTAAAGAGGAGGAGAAATTTAGACTCAGGGAAGAAAGAAAAGGAGACACCAGGGATATGACAGGGGCCAGACAGACAGACATGGAAGCAGCAGGAAAGTAGGGCATACGGAATGAATGAAAGAAGTCGTGTGCAAAGCATAGATGAAGAGAAACGGTAAATTAAAAGGGCTGGTGGGACAATCCTAAGCTAAGGTCGGTCGGTGGCCCCAAAAATGCCAACTACATAGGATTCTGGTTTGTCAACTCCTCCCTCCCCTCCCATCCATGGGCTTTTTTTTTGAAGTGTAGGGTCTTACTCTAGTCCAGAAATTTACTGGAATTCATGACATAACCCCAAGTAACCGCATCTCACGGTACACCTACCTCAGCCTCCCAAGTTTGGGGATTACAAGACATGCGCCACTGTGTAGAGCTGTGTGGGCTCAAGACAAGTCCTGTGTCATTCAAATTGCCTTTCTTGTGGTGGTGTGTGCCTTTAATTCCAGCACGAGGAGGCAGCGGCAGGTGGATCTCTGTGAGTTTGAGGCCAGCCTGGTCTCCAGAGAGAGTCAGGACAGGCTCCACAAAAGTTACACAGAGAAATCGTCTCAGATACCTTCTTCCCCAAGATGATGTTTTCTTCAGAAATCCGATTCTGCTGTACTGACACCTTGGCAAGGATGTCATTGTAGGTTTCTTCAGCTGTCATCAGGTGTGTGTGTCTCATCAAAATTGGGACTAAGGCATTTATTTAGCAGTAATTTTCCTTTTTGAAACAGTCTACCAGATATTATGGCGGGCCCCCTCTGCATTGTGAGCCCAAGCTGCTCTGAACTCACCTTAGCCTCCTGAAAGCTGGGACTGTTGACGTGTGCAACCACACAGAACTGACAAGTGGTTTTCCTTCTGGAATTTGCACTTCATGTTGTTTAAAGCTTGTCAGAGCTGCTGCTGTTTGCCACTGCTCGGCTAACATGTTGGGCAGAAGTCAGATTCCTCCTTTGGTGGTGTATGGCTCCTCATTGCTGGGTGGAAGCATTCCACCATCCCCAGGAGGAGCCCGTTCTGCTGGGGCATCATACTGCCTCTAGGAGACAGCCAGGCTCTCCCCTGTGGCAGGCATATGGCTGAAGCAGAGCAAAGACTAGAGCTGTCTCTTCCTGGTGCTTTGGCTCGCCTTTTTTTCATGCCATTGGTGTTTTCCATTGTTCATCTGTCCCTGGTTTCAGCTGTGCTAGCAAAGGGAGGCAGACGTTCCCGGTTACTTGCGACAACCATTACCAAGCCATCCTTTGTCTCGTGGAGCACAAACATCAACTCCAGTTGTTTCCTTTTATGAATGGTTGCCTTTTGCTATGTAGAGATGTCTGGTTTTATATACAGCTGAGCACATGAAAATGTATCTAGAGTTTTAAGGTATGCTCTAAAGGGCTTTTCACAAGACCCCGCTGTGCTGGAGGCTTTGGGCGGTGAGCTGTGCGTGTTCCGCTAGGCAGCTGGGAGGGAGCAGTTCTTTTAGATTTAGACCCCACGCTCTGTATGGACATGGTCAGTGGACATCTGTGGCCACACATCCCTGCTCTGTCCAGTCATAGCCTTCGGAATCTTGCTTCAAACAGGGTTGACTGGTAGGGGCTACCTTGGCATTTACCTGCTGAAGAATGCTAAACCAGAGTATTCCCAAACTGTCATCCAAGCCAAGCGGAGGACATGTGTCCCTGACCTGCAGTGCCATCTAGGCTGTACCCACACTTTACACCAATTGAGAGACTCCACAGCTGGCTGGTTTCCACCTCTCTCCTTTATTAGCTCAGTCTGTCCTAAGCTGTACAGCTACGGAAATAACAAACGGAGCTGGAAGCCCAGGGTATGCACACTGTGTAGTGAGGTCAGTCTATGCGGTTGCACAGGTTGGTTATGTTTGGTACCACAAGGTGTTTATAATTCAAAGAAAATCAGACAGGCTAACAACTTTATGTACAGTAAAACAAAAGGGGAGTCATTCAAGTATCAAAATAGGAAACAAAGATTAAATAACATTTTTCTTACAATCCAGTCCCACTGTCCACCATGAGCAACAACTCCCGTGACCTGAAGTACAGGCCTGGGCACCTCACAAGCTGACTATGACACATCTTGATGACTGCAGCCACGCATTCTGAGCGCTCAATGCTAGGCTTCTGGAGAACTCCCTACAGGCTACCTCAGGGGCAGAGCCTGTCGGAGCAGACCTCCTGCTCAGGGCAGCTGGGTAGCCGAGAGGCAGACATGGTAGCCTGCGGCTGGCCACTGTGGTGAGGACACAGGGCACATTTTACCTCTCCTCAGAATGGCCTTGTTTTGTCCCAGGGCATGACTCACACAAGTGCCAAAGGCAGACCCTTCTACTTGGCACCTGGCCTGAAAGGGAGAGACCCACCCCGAGGAGTAGAAGAGGAATTTCTGGAATATTCAGAAACCAATCTTGAAAGGAGATCCAGAGAAGACAAGCCAAAGACTTTGTGGTAGAAACACCCTGAATAAATAAGACATAGCAGCGTCACGGGGAAGAGGTGCCTGCCTGTGGTTTTATGACAGAATGCAGCTTGAATTCATCGTAGTGTCTATACTGTCCCCAGGTTTTGTGCCCACCTCTGGGAGCAGGAAGGCGTTCAGCACAACTGATCAGGAACCAAGGGTGTCCCTGGATTCTCGAAAGGTGGGACCTGAGGGGAGCTTTCCAGGGCTGATCACGTGAGGCAGGGGAAGGAAGTTCTGTCGCCAGCACCTAGCACTGGCTTCTTCCCAGAGAGGAGCTGGACCCCAGCACCCGCTGCGCCAAGTGCACAGCAGACAGCCTGCTTCCACTGTCCAGCCCCAGGGTGAAGGTGCCCAGAACTGCAGTTCACAGACTGCTCAAACCTGGCCGCCTGTCCCCAGGACCAGAGGGGGTGCCGCCAGGAGAGCCCAAAGCCTGACTACGTACCCAACTCAGTGCTCAGTGCTTCTCCTTTTTGCTCCCTACTCCAGAAACACCGGGGAGTGGCTGGCCTGGCTCGGTCTCTGTCCCCACCAGCACTCTGTTCCTCAAGCCCAGGAAGATGACCACCACCCAAGTCACTTTAAAAAAGCAAAGTAAGCTAGCAGAAGAGTTTAAGGAACACCAGCTTGTCCTCAAGACTGTCACCTGACATGGCCTTTCCCACATGTGGAACACATGTGTCCAGCAACAGAGGATACCACAGTCAACAAGAACTGGAGTGAGGCCAGACCAGACAAGTCCCAAGCTGGCAAGCTGCAATCTTAGCTGGCATTCCCACTAATGCCCCAAACATAGCCACTTCTCCCTTCTGAAACTGCTGCTGCAGCCTGTCACCAACATGGGACAGCTGCCTTAGGCAGTGCTAACGTAGACAGAGTACCAAGGAGTTCCCCACACCACAAACTACTTGCTTATCCCCATTTGGAGCCCCAGAAACTTCTACTCTGGTTCTGGTTCAAGTGTCATCGTCGAAGTCCAGCTCTAGACTAGTAGCTGGGAACAAAAGACTGAAGTCTCAACTCTGCCCCAAGCCACCCCCGGGCTGAGACCGCATCCTGAAGGCAGAGGGCTGTACAGACAAGGTTTCTGCCAGTCTGTTACTCTGTGTCCTTGATTGGCAGCTTTACCCAGAAGATGGAGCTAAGTGTTAAAAATTTATATATATAAAAAGATTACTTTCCCTATTAAAAACACATGTCCCGGACAGGCCTCGCTTAGGCCACCCAGAGTTATGGTTCCCCTCTGCTAGATGCCTGGCGTCTTCTCTGCCTCCACGGCAGGGTTTGTTCTGCAGGTGGTGGTGGGCCCAGGCCAAGCAGCTGAAAGAAGGTCCTACGGGCAGGGCTGGGCCTGGGTCTTCAGAGCTGCAGGCGAGGCTCTCGGTGCTGGGGGGCAGGAGCCTGTGCTCCCCACATCTACGTCTCCGCAGCACAGTGTGGCTCCTCAGTGGCTCAGCTTGGCAGAAGCAAACAATGGGGAGGAAAGAGTTAAACCAACGAGCCTGGGCAAGGTGGGGGGAAAGGGACAGGACTCAGCAGAACACAAGGCCCCGGGCCCCAAGCACCCACCACAGCTTCCCGAGTGAGCCAGCGTCTGCCACAGCTGTAACCTGCAGCTGCTCCTGGCCCATCTGCTCAGGAAAGGCAGGCAAGGCCAGCCCTGGTGGACAGCTCAGGTGCTGACTGACTCCCTCTTGCACTGCACTACACTGTCGGAATCCGTTCTTCTCTCTCCTGCCATCTAGACTGAGCTCCCCACCTCAGGACACGTGGGGCTGTCTCCAAGATCCAGCTCCATGGTGCTAGCTGCTGGTGGGGGCCGGGGGCGGCT